AATTTGTGACAGTTGTAACAGTTTGTAACAGTTTGTCATGTGACAGTTGCGACAGTTTGTCATGTGACAGTTTGTGACAGTTTGTCATGTGACAATTTGTGACAGTTTGTGACAGTTTGTCATGTGACAGTTTGCGACAGTTTGTCATGTGACAGTTTGCGACAGTTTGTCATGTGACAGTTTGTCATGTGACAATTTGTGACAGTTTGTAACAGTTTGTCATGTGACAGTTTGCGACAGTTTGTCATGTGACAGTTTGTCATGTGACAGTTTGTCATGTGACAATTTGTGACAGTTTGTCATGTGACAGTTTGTCATGTGACAGTTTGCGACAGTTTGTCATGTGACAGTTTGTCATGTGACAGTTTGTAACAGTTTGTCATGTGACAGTTTGCGACAGTTTGTCATGTGACAATTTGTGACAGTTTGTCATGTGACAGTTTGCTTTATGACATTTGATTCTTATAATTGAAACATCTACACTATATTTTAATAATCCAATTTTTCTTTCAGATCCTGGTAAATATTTGGCAGTTTCATCACATGACAATTTTGTTGACATTTATAACATAATGAACAGTAAGCGAGTGGGGACATGTAAGGGAGCATCAAGTTATGTCACACATCTTGATTGGGACAAACGAGGTAAAAATGCAGTTTATTTACTTGATCTTAAACAGCAAACTCTCAAAAGTTCAAAAAATAAAGGTCTTTTGATTGCCATGGTTGATATTACCATTCTACTTTGAATGAACCATGAATAGCACATAGCATGCACAATATAGACCAAATAGAGAACAATATATAGAAGAACTCACACATGTGCAGCTCTGCATGATGACAGTGTTTCATAAAGGGAAGGTTAAAACAAATATTTCTTTTTGTTAGGTAAACTTATAATGCTGAACTCGGGTGCTAAGGAACAGCTATTTTTTGAAGCTCCAAGAGGTAAGAGACAAACTGTACGTAATGAAGAAATACTCAAAATGGATTGGGATACATGGACATGCGTGTTGGGACAGACTTGTGAAGGAATATGGCCACCTAAAAGTGATGTTACAGATGTTAATGCTTCAAGTCTGAGTGGAGACAAGAGAATATTAGCTACTGGAGATGATTTTGGATTTGTCAAATTATTTGAGTACCCAGTAAAGGTAAGATTTAGTCCAGTAAAGTCCAAAATTTTGCACAACAAATGTTGACACAGTAAATTATGGATTTAATATAATATATATTATCATACGATATCATAGTGTGCCACTCAGTAATACATTGTATTGTCTTACGTAAGATACCTTATTAAGAAATTAATTTGTAGTAATATGTTGATCTTTCTATTTACCAGGGAAAGAATGCCAAGTACAAAAAGTATGTTGGACATAGTGCTCATGTTACTAATGTAAGATGGAGTCTGGACGATAGTAAATTGATATCGGTTGGTGGTGCTGATACATCTGTTATGGTATGGTCACATCGGCAAGCTGGTGAAAGGAACAATACCCGTGGTAATAGTGACGACTCTGATACTGACTCAGAAGAGGAAGGAGGTAAAAATCTTATTTTATTTTGTTTTTATTCAGACAATATCATAATGACAAGCAGATTTATCTGACCGGCATTGATTCATTGTTTATGTTCATACGTGTTAAGGTTATGACAGTGACGTGCAACGAGAGAAGGCTATTGACTATACTACAAAGACCTATGCTACTAACCTGAGAGAGACCAGTGGTGTAAAACCACATTTGCAGCAGAATACAGAAGAGGACAGGTAAACTGCATTCATACTTTTTACTTTTATGGGTTACATTATGGTTGATTTAACACTAATAGTTCTCTCAGAGATAACTGGCTCTCCTAGCCCTATAGAAAGGATCTTCATACTGAAATACTGTCAACCACACTATATCTTACTGTACTACATGTATCTTTCTGTTTCTTGTTTGCAATAAGATTGTTTATTTTCAATACACTCGTGCATTCTGTACTTGTCGTTCATTTGCAGAATCACAACATTTTTATTATTTGAACAAAATAAGTAAAAGCAGAAAAAAATGAAAGTTGATTAAACTTCTTTTCATAAATGAATTCAAAAAGGAAGAATGTACAATCACAGATATTGCTAAATCAACCTCTTGGTTACTGTGGCAACATTACGAAATGATGAGTATACGCAAAACATTGGGCTAATAAATTATAGCAATGTTTCTATTATTGTGCTATCAGACCGGCTGTAAGCAGAGGATCGTCCAACCCACCTAAAGTGAAACGCAACGAAACTACAAAGAGAAAGAAAGGAGACATCAATGTAAGAGACTTCCATAACTTTATAAATGAATGCATTTGTATATATGTACTTTGTAAGATGGCCATGTGAATTTTATTAGGACTGAAAACTGATAGATTAAGTGCATGTTGTATGTTTCATTACTATGAAAGTTTGTAACAGTTTTGCATATATACTTGCTTACATGTGTACATCCATGAACTATGGTAATAATATTTAAAATCAAACTACAAAGACAAAGGAAGGAGTCATTAATGCAAGAAACATACACAC